AAAGAAAGAAAGAAAGAGAAAAGAGACAGAGGGGAACGGGAAGAGAAAAGAGAAGAAGGTGGCCAGGCACAGTGGCTCACGCCTGTAATCCCAACACTTTGGGAGGCTGAGGCAGGCAGATCACCTGAGCTCAGGAGTTTGAGACCAGCCTGGGCAACACGGCGAAACCCATCTCAAGTAAAAACACAAACAATTAGCGGATCATGGTAGTGTCTGTAATCCCAGCTACTCGAAAGGCTGAGGCATGAGAATCACTTAAACCTGGGAGGCAGAGGTTGCAGTGAGCCGAGATCACACGACTGCACTCCAGCCTGGATGGTCACAAACCAAAAAAAAAAAGAGAGAGAGACAGAGAGAAGAAGGAAGAAAACTGAGGGCCACTGTCCATGGAATGTTGAGAAAAAAAATTTTCTTAAAAATTCACCACACACCCCCTTTTCAAAAAGGATTGTCAAATTTCTGTAGAAACAATGCATTTAGGTTGGGTGCGGGTAGCTCACGTCTATAATCCCAGCACTTTGGGAGGCTGAAGCAGGAAGACTGCTTGAGCCCAGGACTTCAAAACTAGCCTGGGCAACATAGCAGGACCTGTCAAAGGAAAGGAAGGGAAAGGGGAAGGGAGAGGGAAAAGGAAGGGGGAAGGGGAAGGGGAAGCAGAAGCGGAAGGAAAAGAGAAATAATGCATTTAGTTCATGTACTTTGAAAATTAAATTTGAAGCAACCATTTAAATAATATTTGGTAATTTTTAAATATAATTCAATAATAAATGCAACCTAATTCCATTATGTAACTACTAGAGAGAAGTAGAAAAAGAACAAAAAGTTTAAAAGGAAAAGAGAAAAAGGAATGGAACAAGGTTAAAGAGAAAGGGAAGAAAAAGATACATGCACATACAGGGTAAAAACAAGCAAACAGAAGTGATAAAAGAAAAGATGTCCTATAGATTATGTGGTGAGTATTAGAAATCTTGTCACATTCCACAGCTTACCTGGACTCTGAATTTCAGTGCAGGTTTGCACTGACCTTTGAGTTACTGATTAAATAATTAACCTAACTACACAGCTCAGAGATTCCTCTCTCAGTGGGGTAGCCCCAGCAGTTCACAAGAAGAAATATTTTCTGAAAATGAAGAGGCTTTAAAAAAAAAAAAAAAGGAATCTGGCTACAAATTATTTAAAGGGGCCTGTGGGGTGGGCACAGGGGCTCACACCTGTAATCCCAGCACTTTGGGAGGCCAAGACAGGAGGATCACTTGAGCCCAAGAGTTCGAGACCAGTCTCAGCAATGTGGTGAAACCCCATTTCCACAAAAAATACAAAAGTTAGCTGGGCATGGTGGCATGTGCCTGTAGTCCCAGGTACTTGGGAGGCTGAGGTGGGAGGATCATCTGAGCCCACGGAGGTCAGGGTTCCACATTACACCACTATACTCCAGCCAGGACACACAGTGAGACTGTCTCAAAAAAATAAATAAAATAAAGGGGCCTTTGGCTACATTGTCTAAACATGTTATTTTATGGATGATGAAACTGAAGCCCAGAAAGTTTAAATGGCTTTCCCAACCCAGACAGGTACAGCCAAGGCTAAAATATGGATGTGTAATTTCCCAGGCCAGTTTTCCACAATGGTAAACTGCCATTCCTTTGTCTTAAACATTTGTAGTAGAATCTTTCCTGTACTTCTTAAATCCTTTAGTACTTAGTTTATAAAGAGCTGATAAACACATGGAACCTAAATTCCTAAAGTGTTAACAGGTGTTATTTCATGGCCCACCACTTAGCTTTGCCATTACAATCAGGACCTGAGATGTCACATGTACACACAAGAATTATGTGAGTTTCCCATCTCTTGCTCTCCTTCCCTCCAGTTCAAATAAACCAAAATGTTTCCATTTCTGAAACAGCCATTCATTTATAGTGCATGTAGCATGAAAGAAACACTCACAATTTAGATTACTCATATTGGTTTTTCTTGCCTTTTTAAACAAAAACTCTAATCCCAAGACAGATTATCTCTTACTTTTAAAAATGGTGACTCTTCCAACATGTCAAGGAACTCAGGGAAATAATCTCCTACTTCTTCATCAACTGCTCCCACCAAGCTTATTTGTCGCATTGGGCCAGCTCTGTAAGTACCATGAGAATACGTTCTTTTTACCTGAAGAATATGGATTTAATTAAAAGTTAAATACATTATTTTTACCTGAAGAAAATGGATTTAATTAAAAGTTACACATAATGCTTGCTATCATTTTGTAACAATAAATTTTTATCTCAGAATATTATATCATAAGGAGGCAAGCAAAACAAAACAAAACTTTACGAACAGTAACAGATAAGGCATTTTAAAAATAAAACTTGCACTAAATCAAGCTATTTTACTTTCTCTAACTATTCCTACACACTGCTTATGAAAACACAGTTAAGACAAATAAGCATTAATTCTAGACAACTAACATCTCCTTAGAACAGAGGAACTCATTATCTGAATATTCAAAAGTTGGTGTATTTTTCAAAGTTGGCTGCATTTTTCTAAAGTAAAATGAGGTTCATATCTTTTCATCAAAATTTTCCAAAGTAGACCCTCTGAAAACATTAATCATCACCAGTGGCTTATATATCTAAAAGGCCACCAGCGATGCTCTTCTTTTTTGATCTTACAATATTAACTAGAAACCAGTTTATATATCTATTATTAACTCTGATGAGAAACTACTAGAAATTAAGAATTACGGCCAGGCGCAGTGGCTCACGCCTGTAATCCCAGCACTTTGGGAGCCCAAGGCGGGCAGATCACAAGGTCAGGAGATCAAGACTATCCTGGCTAACACAGTGAAACCCCATCTCCACTAAAAATACAAAAAAATTAGCCGGGTGTGGTGGCAGGCGCCTGTAGTCCCAGCTATTTGGGAGACTGAGGCAGGAGAATGGTGTGAATCTGGGGGCTTGCACTGAGCCGAAGATCGTGCCAATGCACTCCAGCCTGGGCAGGTAGAGCAAAGATCTGCTGGGGGGGGAGGTTAAGAATCAGGAATCCTAAGATCCAAATCTGCCTTTGCTATCTACCAGCTACATGACCTTCAGAAATTATTTACGTTCCTTGAGCTTTGATTTCCTTAACTGGAATGTTTTACAGCAGATTGCTGAAGAAAATTTGATAATGATATAAACTCACCCGCCATATTGCTAGTAAATGGGTGGCATTCAAAGAGCCAAAACAAAGCCATCTGAACCTCAAGATTCACTGGTAATGACATTTTTTTGCCAGCATATTTAAATCCTGACAAAGAAACCTACGTGTTTTCATATACTAACACTAGTAAACAAGTTGAGTCTGTCTTCAAGCAAAACAACTCCTTTTGATAACCAAATTATAAGCAAAATTGTAATTGTCTCTTTCTCAGGATTAGCCTTTGTGGACACCAAATTTAGGAGATCAATTTGTCCCAGTTTGCCCAGGACTATCAGTCTTAAAACTGAAAGTCTTGGTATTTCAGGCAAACATGGATGGTCAACTTTTATCACATCACAGACACAGATTATAAAAGATAGTCACATCAAAAGTTGAATCGTTACAATCACAGCTGGTAAGAGTATCACAATATAACAAAGTAAATCCAACCCATATGTTTTCAAAACAAAATCATTTAAGACAGAGAATCTCATTTGTTATTACAATCAGCAAAGCAGTTTAATGACGTTAATTCTTTAATAAATTCACCAGATATCCAAGCTTAAGTTTTCCTAAACTTACAAATTGACTTATCAGAACTACAAACCATTCCTACAAGTTAGAAAATTAGGGGCCTGTAATCCCAGCACTTTGAGAGGCAGGAGGATATCTTCAGCCTGGCAGGTCCAGGCTGCAGTGAGCTGTGATCATGCTACTGCACTCCAGCCTGGACAACAGAGCGAGATCCTGTCTCAAAAAAAAAACAAAAAACAAAAAAAAGAACAGTTGGAGCTTGTGCCCCCATTGTGTACTCATTGTCTCACCTTTTTCCTGTCTCCTAAAAATTCCTATCATCTCCTATATCAAGAGAGCTAAAAGTTAAAGCCTAACTCTACAACAGTCTTCAGACTCTAGATGTTTAGATGCATTAATAGCAACACAGTAAGAAATCCAGTCTATGCATCTCTATAACACAGTCTAACAAAGAGGCTAAGGGTATCAATCTGAACTCCAGCACATTTACCAGAATATAACACATCAAGTCTGTTAAGTGATTCTGAGATTCTGAGTTTTGTATCTGCAAATGACCATAAGGAGTTTTGAGAGACAATAGCCATTTAGAAAGTGAAATCAAACAACTGATATTGTAAAACACAAATTTTCCAAGTGCTTTGAAATATATCTAAAAAGTCAAATTAGAGTTAGGGGTGGTGGCACGAAACTGTAATCCCAGCTACCCAGAAGGCAGAGGCAAGAGGATCACTTGAGCCCAGGAGTTCAAGATCAGCCTGAGCAATACAGCGAGACCAAAAAAAAAAAAAAGTCAAATTATATATATTTCCACTTCACACAAATAAGTACATTCTCCGTGCATAAATTTCCTTATCTTGTTTAAATTACATACCTAAAACATTTAGTTCTAACAAAGCCAGAATCAAGTCCCTGCCACTGACTTGGTTCGTCCTACTACATCACAGCACCAACAACGATCAGCTAAATAATTGGGGCAGTTTATCTTGTGGGGAGGGGATGACTGTTAGGAAAGAATTTTCATTACGTGAATTCTTCTAAAATACGAAGCACAACTAAACTTTCCATTTGTCTAGTAGTTTTAAAAAGTCACACTATACATGAAATAAAACCAAAAAACTATAAACTATAGAGAGTAGAAGATAAATACAATAATCAGAAAACCAGAACTGTTAACACAGTCCTTTAACACAGTAGTGTAAAATCTATGTATTTAAATGTGAGTAAAAACATGTATCACTGAGTAACAGGAAAAAAAATGGGTAAAACTTGAGTGGTAATATTACAGGTAAATCATATGTTGTGTCATGACTCAAGAACTTTATCTACTAATTTTGTTTTGACCAGATGTTGCTATTTCAGGTTAGAATAATTATTTCATTGATTGAAGAAGTATTACCGACCTAGCCATCTCATTTCAAATTACACATTTACATTAATTTCCAAGTTTACAAATATTGCTTTTTATTTCAAAATAAAACACGTCCAAATTAGTATAGACCTAAACATTAAACTTTTTTAACATAAAAGACTGAATAGGCCGGGCGCGGTGGCTCAAGCCTGTAATCCCAGCACTTTGGGAGGCCGAGACAGGCGGATCACGAGGTCAGGAGATCGAGACCATCCTGGCTAACACGGTGAAACCCCGTCTCTACTAAAAAATACAAAAAACTAGCCGGGCGAGGTGGCGGGCGCCTGTAGTCCCAGCTACTCGGGAGGCTGAGGCAGGAGAATGGCGTAAACCCGGGAGGCGGAGCTTGCAGTGAGCCAAGATCAGGCCACTGCACTCCAGCCTGGGCAACAGGAATAAAACCTTGCCTTAAAAAAAAAAAAAAAAGACTGAATAAATGAAAAACTGATTTTTACCCCTATTCTCTGTGTACTTTGGGCACTACCTAAGAAGAGGCTTTATCTTTTGTTGATTATTTTTAAGTATGGTCCTATTAAAATTCATAACTATTTCAAAGGATTTTTTAAAGATCCTGAATTTTTAAAGTAATACAGACTCTACTCAGATTATATTGCTAATTATCTTAATTGAATTTTTAGTTAGTTCTTCCCATCTCATGCCAAAATACATATAAAACATATAGATATGTAAAATTCACTTTCACACATAACTTACTATAACAAAAGTATAAGTCTCTCTCTTTTAACCAGAATGTACAAAAACCGTGAGGCAGATCCCATTTGCCCACTAATAAAATCAAAAATAAATTCTATTAGGAAATTGCCCTTTATAAAAACTGCTTAGCTATCACATGTTTAAAACAAACAGCAATGATCTTCCAAAACATTTATTATCCAATAGTAAAGATAAAAATATGATCACCCACCTGAATAAACATAAACCAAATTTTAAAAATTAAATTGAAGTCATCAAAATCTTAATCTGTAAAAGTATTAAATTTTAAAATACACTGTAATTTAACTTTTAATTATATATCATTTCATACAAATTTCTAGTTTAATAACACAATATTTCAAATCCATCAGTTGTAACCATTAACTTAAATGTTACAAACATGGCAAGTTACACATAGCGTTTCCAATTTAAAAAGCATATACTGCTTGATAAAATAAATGATGGTACTTATACTGTTAAAACGTAAGAATAAAATCCACATGCTTTTCACAAAAATGTAAATAATTCCTGATTTTGGTGACACCTCTTTTGCTGCAAAACTATATACCAAATATCCACAATTCACCTATTACATAGGATAAAATTATATCTACAATATCACACACAAAAAATCAAGCCTCAACTCTCTAAAAATCACCTATCCAGACTATGCCAGACTGCGAAGAATTCAATGGCAGTGAGGCGGGAGAGGTAACAGATAAGTATTAGAAGAATCTCTAAATAATCAAAGTAAATGTCACAAAGACCATGACTCATAAAATGTCCTCTTCTTACATATCCATTCCTGTATTAGGCACAATTATAACTACTCTCTAAAATAATAAAGGACAAGAAACCACAAATTTAGAAGGGGAAGGAGGAGAAAAGGGTAAGCACAGCTGCAGCTGCCCTAAGACATCAGTATTGTATCATAATGACAAACCAATACTGAAAATAAAGTTGCATTATGTTGCATATGTTCGGCAATGAAGGTATTTTTATAGAACCTTGGTACTTAAAACATTTCCACTAACTAAAAAAATCACTTCTCTGGAAAATCTCACATCCTGATGACGCTTAATGTGAGCTTACTATATTTGCTTTTATTCACTTCAGTAAACATTAATCAAACCAGTTTTCTGATGCAGTTAAAAAATTAACCTGAAAAAAGCCAAAACATGTCACTGCTTTAAAATATAGGCCAGGCACAGTGGCTCACACCTGTAATCCCAGCATTTTGGGAGGTCAAGGCGGGAGGATCACTTAAGATCAGGAGTTTGAGATCAGCCTGGCCAACATGACAAAACCCCGTCTCTACTAAAAATACAAA